TGATGGTACACTGTACAGCTTTCCAGTTTCATCTCTTCCAAATGTTGAATATGCTGACCTGAGCATGATTGAACTTTTTGGCTGCCTCATCATATATGCAAGCTTTTGAAGCTCAATTGTCTAGATTTGTCCTTTGATTAATTTTCTGGAAGCGTCCGACTTGAAGGGCTATGTAGCAAATCAATTCTCAAGGCTTCACAGCCAATGACAACAGGCTTTCCGGTCCAATTCACAGGCCTACCATGATGCAGTTCCTGGAAGTATGTGATTTCACTGCTACCAGCACCGATTCCCCCCGCCCTTACTCATTGCTATCGTCAGACCAAAAAAACTCGAAAATAGCAGAAAGAAGATGTAATACACGTTTTCATATTAAGCTTAAGACACTCAATCAGTTAGTCAGTCTAGTAATTTTCACCCGTAGACGTAATCCTTAAATTTTAAATCCAGCAGCAGTTGTAGCATTAGCCATTGTGGCACTTCTAGGCAGAAAGCGTTGAGAAATTGGTTTAATTTCTTTTATGTAGATTTCTTATGCTGTGTGAAGGCAACTGATTTCCGTATTGATTTAGTTGCTTGAAGTAGTAGCCAAGAAATTTCATATTTGAATGAGTTTGAGTCTAAAAATTAGAAATTATTTCCTATTCTGTATAAATTAGAAATTATTTCCCATTTTGTATAAGTTTAGGAATTAGCAATTATTTTCTAGGTGGGGGTTGGCATACCACAAAATGGCACACAAGAAAACCATGCAATCTTTACATGGAGTGAGAGAAATTATACAAGAATTGGATTTGAGTTAAAATTCTATATTTGTATAGGCTTTATTATTTTATAATAGGTTCAATGTTGGAGTTGAAACACGTTATATCTATTATATCTTGTGTATCGTTTATGTTTTATGTTTGTGATTTGTTTTTCATTAAATTGTTGTTTACTTGATGTGTCAATAATTATTTGTTCTGCACCTAGATCCCAACAACGGGTATCAAAATAGGGTTGAGGCACTTGCTTGAAGCACTAATGCAAGTTCCAGGTCTCCAGGAATGTCATAGTTGAGACATTTTGAGTTCCAAAACAACAGGCCACATAGGAGAGAACATCAGTCTTCTCTGGTAATTGAGCTCAAGTAGTTGGGCTTTTGCTAACTTCATGATGCTAGCAGTTGACAAGTCTTGATGGTAAGAAGTATCAATTGGTCTATCAGAGCTTAGCTCATTTATATGTCCCTCCCTCAAACGCTTCACTCTGGTACTATGTTGCTTCAGAAATTGCAGCGATGTCCAAGGGAGAAACGGGCTTTCCCTTTTTCCATCAGCAATATCAGAAACGTGTGGTGAATCAGCAAATTTTGCTAGAATAGAATCCATTTCTTTTTCCGGGCTTTTCACTGAAGAATAAAAAATCGAAGCCTGTGTAAAAATTTCTCAACACACTACTTATATAAAGACCAATTTTCATTCTTAAACAAATCTTAAAGAATCCTTGGCTCAAACTGGAAATTTTGATCAAGATATATTAATGTAATCTTGACAGGCGGAATGCTCTCTTGGAAACCAACAATCCCATTGGAAATATGTGGTTGTGCTGACAAAGGATCTGTTTTTGCAGCGGCCTGGCACACTACACTCCAAACATGCTCAATGTTTACTCCAGATTTCCTGAATCATCATCCACAATGATCTGGGATTAGGAAATCTTAAAACCCGTGTAAGAATTCAGAAAAACACTCCCTGAAATAAGTTGAAGTATCCTATATGAAGCATTGAACATAACTAAGTATCAGATGCAAGTAGACGATATATCCCCAACACAACAAGAAGTACTTGAAACGAATTCACATGGATAGTAAAATATAAGTTGCCGTAATAGAAAAGAAAAAGCCATGAAACAAGGATAAAGCACAGATGATTGGCAACCAAATTTCTTGGAAGAATTCAGACAGTAGGAACCATTTTGATTGGATGAAAACCAGTGTATACTTATTCCACAAATCCTAAGGCCTCCTTTTAGTTCTCATTCTCGTATTGGTTATTGGAAGAGACGATTCCACTTTGACCGTAGCAAGAATTGTGGATTACAAAATTCGATACATCAATAACTCAGCCAAATTAGTCCCAGAAAGCATCCTGCAATATAGTTTTGTTACCATTAATATCTCACCTGCTTTGCAGGTGATTTTGTACCCCGAAATACAAATTCTATCAAGTTTTGATTCTCAAAATCTTGTTGCAATACTTGTACTTAGAAGTCATAAATCTAAAAGCGAATAAATGTTACACTTTTTTAATAAATGTTACACCGTGTCAAATACTATTGTGTCATGTCAAATATTTTATATACTCATGATAACATTTTACTTAAATCATAAATGTTACACTTTTTTAATTTGCAAAACAATAATGCTGTTAAGCAGGAAAGAAAGGTGGACAAGTCAAGCATGGAAGTAACACACAGGGTTTTATAGATAGCGTAATAAAGCGAAAGGCTGAATCGTACGCGAAGACAATTTCTAGGAGCCAGTAAATGAGTTGGTTTACTTTATTTCTTTCATTCCAGCTCACTTGTTATGAGAACTTCTATAGAAATATAACAAATTTAGTTACGTGGAGAATTTTGGAATGACTACAGATTAACGGATTTCAGAAGTTTGATCAAATCAAATTCCAAAAAATTCAGAAAAAAATCAACGAAATTGGTAAGAATTTCAATTTGTGTCTTTAAATTTCAGCGTAAATCTGACATTGTTTTACACCATTTCTCGGAAATCCTCTGGACAAGTTAGTGAACTCCTATGGCTTGATGACCAAAGAGTCTATGAAGCATTAAAATGCCCAGTAATTTAATTACTTGTTGTTTTGGCACAGACCAAGAAGCATCTTCTGTCGAAAGAGTCAAGAATATTAATTTCCATTTATTATGAAGTTGGAAATAGCATTTTTAGTGATGGAAAAAATGGCCTTTTTGCCAATGTTTCTGAGCAAGTCTTTTGGGCTCCAACTACATCTCCATCTTCATTTTCATTCTCAGGGACCCGACTTCTCATCGATTACAAATCTACACCTATTGACTATTGAGCCATTTAGAGCTAAAGGAAATTGCCAAGAACCATCAAGAGTTAAGATCAGGTTGACTTGAGAAATATCACCACTTATACACAGTTACAAAAAGATCTTAGATAAACTCGAGGAATTAGGAGAAAAAAGAGTTTTTTTTTTCCTCATTGTTTTTTTTTCTCTAGGGCAAATTGCACATTACCCCCCTGTGGTTTAATGTTTTTGTACATAACTCTCATATGGTTTCAAAAGTTATACATAATCCCTTATGATTTGAATTAAAGTGTTAAAGTGACGGAAACGATTATTCGTAACAGAACCTATTAAAATATTGAAATTACCCTTGTTTAAAAATTAAAATGATTGAAGTGATCAAAATATATAAATATAATATACATGACATACTAATCATGTATGGTTTTATATTTTATCATATAACCCCTTTGTGGTTTAATATTTTACCGTGTAATCCCCTTATGATTTTCAAAAATATATACATAACCCATCCTGTGATTAAGAAATAATTTTCAACTTTACATAGTGGTATTTTTGATATTTTAGATTACTCCATTATGGATTGCAAATTCCATCATTTTGACACTTTAATCCAAACCATGAAAGGGTTATGTATAGTTTTTAAAACTATAAGGGAGTTATGTATAAAATACTAAACCACAGGGGGTGGTAAAGTGTAATTTTTACTTTTCTCTAAAAAAGATGGCATGAAATGCTATTCTTGATGGACCGTAATGCTCACTGTGCAAAAAAAAAAGCAATATTTAGGGCGCTATCGATCTTAATTGCTCTTTCTTTAGCTAGGTAGTAATGCATGTTTAAGTCTCGTTGATCAATTTACTTGTTCTTCACTTTCAAAGACTCCAATATTAATGGTATGAATTTGAACTTTTGCATGACTTTCTTAAAAGGACGAATTGGCTTGACTTGAGAAGTGAAACACACTCAAGTCGACTCCAGTCTCCTTGACAAGCATGTCCATGTTATATTGAACAGTCATTATGGCTGGAAGAAACCGTGGAAAGACCTCAGAGTCTAGTGTTGCAATGGTGGGGTGGGGTCTCCAAATTGCTTTATCTCCAGTATAAATTATGTACACTTTAAGCCATTTTTAGTTCAACATAGAAAAAAGTACAAAAAAAAAATCATGGGTTCTTTAGCTAATCATCAAAACCCATCGTTCGAACTTCTTCTTCTCCTGCTTATCTCAGTTTTGGCTCTCCAATTTGCTTCGGCTTCTGTTGAGGAGGCTGAAGCCCTTTTGAAATGGAAAGCCAGTTTTTCAAACCTGAACAACACCCTCCTAACATCTTGGAATCTTCAAAACACTCGTAATCATCCAAAAGCAAGTGTCAGCCCTTGCACTTGGTTCGGTGTGTCGTGCATTGATGGCAGTGTAAGCACGTTAAACCTCACAAATTCAAGTATCAATGGTACGCTTTACAGCTTTCCATTTTCATCTCTTCCAAATCTTGAAAAGGCTGATTTAAGCATGAATGAACTTTCTGGCAGCGTACCTCCTCAGGTAAGCAAGCTTTCGAAGCTCAGTTATCTTGATTTGTCCTATAATAAATTCGCTGGAACCATCCCACCTGAAATTGGCCTCTTAACCAACCTTCAAACCCTCCACTTGAACGAGAACTACTTAAATGGCTCAATTCCTCAGGAGATTGGCCAGTTAAGGTCTCTCGTTGAGCTTGCCTTGTGTACAAACAACATTGGGGGCCCTATTCCTGCCTCCTTTGGCAATCTGAAAAACTTGACTTATTTATATCTCTATGAAAATCAACTTTCAGGTTCTATTCCTCGTGAAATTGGAAACCTCAACACTCTTGTTGAGGTTGACATCGACAACAACCAGCTGACAGGCCCTATTCCAGCCTCGATTGGTAACCTGAATAACCTAGTGCTTTTGCATCTTTACGAAAACGGCCTATCTGGTTCCATTCCTTCTGAGATAGGAAAGTTGAAAAAACTCCAGAGGCTGAGCCTATGGGGAAATAAGCTCACTGGTCCAATCCCAACTTCACTAGGTAACCTGAGGGATCTGACTCTTTTGCATCTATATCAGAATCAACTTTCTGGTTCAATCCCAGAAGAGTTAGGCAACCTGAAGTCTCTGGTCAAATTCGAAGTAAGTGTGAATCAACTTAACGGGTTGATTCCTACTTCACTTGGCAATTTGATAGAATTGGAAACTCTGTTTCTTCGCCATAACCAACTTTCTGGCTCCATTCCCCCGGAGCTAGGGAAACTGACGAAGTTGGTTCTCTTGGAAATGGATGAAAATCAGTTCTCTGGTCATTTACCAGAAGGGCTTTGTAGCAGTCAAACTCTTCAAGACTTCACTGTCAACAATAACAGCCTTTCTGGTCCAATTCCTGAAAGCTTGAAAAACTGTGCAAGTTTAGTCAGAGCTCGATTTGATGGGAACCAGTTCACTGGGAACCTGTCTGAATCGTTTAGTATTTATCCACACCTTGAATTTATCTTTCTTAGCAACAACAACTTTTCTGGGGAGCTCTCAAACAACTGGGGTAGATGCAAAAACTTGACAACTCTTTTAATTGCAAATAACAGCATCACAGGTCACATTCCTCCAGAATTTGGGAATCTGCCTAATCTGGGCGCCCTTGATCTTTCTTCAAATCAGATAGCTGGGGAGATTCCAAAGGAACTTGGGAAGCTGAAGTCCATTCAACGGTTGCTTTTAAATGACAACCAACTCTCGGGTGGTATACCTCTTGAGTTAGGATCGCTGACAGATCTACTCTCTCTCGACCTATCAGTGAACTTATTAAATGGATCAATTCCAGGAAGCATAGGAGAGTGCCAGCAACTAACCATTTTGAACTTGAGCAGCAATAGTTTAAGCCACAGTATTCCATCCCAGTTGGGTAAGTTAATTCACCTTAACCTTCTTGATTTGAGCCACAATTTCCTCATCGGAGAGATACCAACTGAATTCGGAAGTTTGAACAATCTGGAAACGTTGAATCTCTCCCATAATAACCTTTCAGGTTTCATTCCAAAGGCTTTGGCAGAATTGCCTAGTATTCCGCATATAGATTTATCTTTTAATGAGTTAGAGGGTCCAATTCCTTGTGGAAAAGCATTTGCAAATGCCACTATTGAACAACTTAAAGGGAATAAAGGTTTGTGTGGCAACATTACAGGGGTACGGCCGTGTGATAGTCCTCAATTGGTCAAAAAGCATGAGAATGGGCAGAAACTTGCTCTCATAATTGCACTCCCTCTTGTGGGAGCACTCATGCTTCTTTCTGCGTTTGCTGGAATTCTCTTTTTTCACGAAAAAAGAAAGAAAGATCCAAAAGTGAAAGACGGGGATGTAAAGGGTGGAGATGTGTTCTCTATATCCTTATTTGATGGCAAAGAAATGTATGAGAACATCTTAAAAGTGACGCAGGATTTTGATCCAACATTTTGCATAGGGAAAGGAGGTCATGGAAGTGTTTACAAGGCAAATCTTCCACTGGCTAACACAGTGGCTGTAAAGAGACTCCACCACTTGTCTGAGTCTGCAGATCAAGAAGGTTTCTTGAAGGAGATAAGGGCCTTGACAAAGATCAAGCATCGAAACATTGTGAAGCTTCAGGGTTACTGCTCAAGTGCTAAATATTCGTTTTTGGTTTTTGAGTACCTTGAAAGAGGCAGCTTGGCTAAACTTTTGAGCATTGAAGAAGAAGCTAAAAAATTGGATTGGCAGAAAAGGATAAAAATCATTAAGGGCATTGCTCATGCTTTGTCCTACATGCATCATGATTGTTCGCCGCCTATAGTTCATCGAGACATTTCAAGCAACAATGTTTTGCTTGATTCAGAGTATGAAGCTCATGTCTCAGATTTTGGCACGGCGAAGCTTCTGAAGATAGACTCGTCTAATTGGAGTGCAGTAGCAGGCACCTATGGATATGTTGCACCAGGTAATATAGTTTTTTTCTCTTATGAACCATTCAAGAAGTTAATTACAGCATGATCACAAAGTTAATGATGACATGATTTTGACTTGCAGAGCTTGCCTACACAATGAGAGTAACTGAAAAATGTGATGTCTACAGCTTTGGGGTCCTAACCCTTGAAGTAATCAAAGGGAGCCATCCTGGTGACTTCATTCCTCACCTTACATCGCCCACATCTGTGAACATCCAACTGAAAGACTTGCTGGACCAACAACTTCCGTATCCCGGTCAGGAAGTTGAAGAGACTCTAGTATCAATTCTCAAGCTTGCAAGGGCCTGTCTGAATGTTGATCCTCAATCAAGGCCAACCATGCACATGATTTCTAGTCTTTTATCAATGGGTGCACAAGCACTACCTAAGCATCTTCATGGTGACTTTCAGCTGGCTTAGGATTTCTTGACATTTATCTGTCTCATGGGCTATATTATTTTCTTTGTTGTCATATCTCAGCTTTAAATTTAGTTTTTCTATTGGCTTCTTGTTGGTGTGGCGTTGTCCCACATCGACTTTTGTATAAGGGAATCTTTCCTTTGGTTGCCTATAAATATAGTGGGCCTGTGATGGGGTTAAGAGCACCAAGACCAAGAGAGCATTAGTGGGCTATTTGGGCCTTTGAGTCATTAAGCCTTTTGTTTAGTTAAATACTTTTGGGCTCTCTTGTGTTTTAGTATTAGGTGTTTTGGGTCTAGGAACACTTTCCTAAGGCATCTTTTGTACTCCCTTCTTCATAGTAAAATATTGTTCCTCCTCCGCTTGTGGACGTAGGTCAATTTGACCGAACCACGCAAATTCTTGTGCTCTTGTTTTGCTTATTTCTGCTTTGTTATTTGTCTTTGGGGGTTGCTACAAATCCTTTTGTCAATTTCCTAGGGTTAGACCTAACAAACTGGTATCAGGGCTTCTTCGGAGGCTTTGGATTTTGTGGCAATAATGACAATAACAAAGACTGTCGTCGAGAAATTCGATAAGAATGTCAACTTCGGGATGTGGCAGCTCAAGATGGAGGCCATTTTGGTTCAAGACGGAGTTGATCTAGCGATACACGGAATTGAGAAAAAGTCAGAGAGTGTGCCAGAAACAAATTTTGCTGAAATGGATAAGAAGACAAGATCCAGTATTATCTTAAATCTCTCTGACGAGGTTTTGCGGGAGGTAGCCACTGAGACTTCGGCAAAGGCCATGTGGGACAAACTTAAGGTCTTGTACATGAAGAAGACAGTTGAGAATCGGCTTTATTTAAAACAAAGTTTGTATATGCTTCGCATGACTGAAGGTACATCTATACTCTCACATCTTGATAAATTTGATTCCATTATTATGGATTGGAAAATATAGATTCAAAAATTGATGATGAGGATCAGACCCTGTTACTTTTGTGTTCCCTTCCCCAATCTTTTAAACATTTTCGCGATACTATGATTTATGGAAAAGAAACAATTTCGTATCGAAAAATTAAATCTGCATTAAAATCTAAGGAACAGATAGACAGGGATATTACTGGGGAATTTAGTGGAGGCATGCAGAAGGTCTGGTTGTTAGGGGCAGAACTAAGAGAAGAGAATTTGATAAAGGTAGATCTAAATCTAGATCTAAATCCAGACATAGAAATGTAGAGTGCAATTATTGTCATAAAATGGGGCACATTAAGGCAGATTGTTTCAAATTGAAAAATAAATTGAAACAAAAGGGGAAACCTAGTGAGAAAAATTTTGAGACTGCCGAAACTGGTGTTGCAGCTGATGAGAATGAATGAAGTATTTTCTTTGTAACTGATGACAGGATAAGGTCTAAAAATGAATGGATTTTAGATTCGGGGTGCTCTTATCACATGTGTCCCAATAGGGATTTATTTTTCACTTATGAATCTTACAATGGTGGAATTGTTTTGATGGGTAATAATGCTGCTTGTAATGTTGTTGGTAGGGGTACAATTCGAATTAAAATGCATGATGGTATTGTGTGGACGCTCACTAATGTTAGACATGTTCCTGATTTGAAAAAAATCTCATCTCTTTGGGCATTCTAGAGGCTCTTGGGTGCAAATACACAGGTAAAAATGGCATTATGAAGGTTTCTAAAGGTGCTCTCGTTGTAATGAAAGCTTGCAGGGTTGGTAGTTTATATGTTTTGCAAGGGTCTACTGTCACAGGCTCGGTTGCAGTTTCGTCATCATCATCTTTGTCTGATTCTAACATCACTAAATTGTGGCATATGCGTTTGGGACATATGAGCGAGAAAGGCCTGGGCATACTAAGCAAAAGGAGACTTCTTTGCAGTCAGAGTACTGGGTTACTGGAATTCTGTGAACATTGTATCTTTGGAAAGCAAAAAAGAGTTAGCTTCAGTTCTCAAGCAATCCATAAGACGAAAGGTACTCTTGATTATATTCATTCAAATTTATGGGGTCCATCTCGTGTTCCGTCTAAGGGTGGTGCCAGGTATATGTTGATTTTTATTGATGATTATTCAAGAAAAGTTTGGGTTTATTTTTTTAAACATAAGAATGATGTTTATCTCACTTTCAAGCAATGGAAAGTTTTGATTAAGAAACAGACAGGTAAACAGGTCAAGCGGCTTAGAACAGATAATGGTATGAAATTTTGTGAAAGAGAATTTGATGAATTTTGCAAGAATGAAGGAATTGTTCGGCATCACACTGTCAGGATGACACCTCAGCAAAATGGTGTGGCCGAACGTATGAACAGAACACTTTTGGAGAGAGCAAGGTGCATGATCTCTAACGCAGGGTTGGCCAAGGATTTTTGGGCTGAAACAATTTCTATGGCTTGTTATATTGTCAACCGTGCTCCTTCTATTGCTCTTAATTTCAAAACTCCTGAGAAAGTTTAATTAGGTACTCTTGCTGATTATTCTGATTTTAAAATTTTTAGGTGTCTAGCATACATGCATGTAAATGATGAAAAATTGGAATCTCGTGCTAAAAAGTGTATTTTCCTTGGGTATGCTTCTGGAGTGAAAGGATAAAGATTATGGTGTTCTGATCCTAAATTTCCAAAATTTATAATCAATAGATACGTTACTTTTGATGAATTCTCTATGTTATCTTCCAAGAAGGAGTCTTTTAGTTCTTGTCAAACAGATGATAGTATGCAGAAGCAGGTGGAGCTTGAGATTAGTAGTTCTGGTCCTTCTATTTAACAAGTGCCAGTAGATGCATCTGAATCTATTGATGAAAATAATTCAGAAGAGTAAGAATATTCCATTGCCAGAGATAGAGCAAGGAGGGATATTCGACCACCATAAAGATATGCAAATTTAGTTGCATATGCTTTGTCTATCGCAGAAGAAACTAATGTAGTTGATGAGCCTACTACTTATTTAGATGCGATTTCTTGTGATGATTCTGTTAAGTGGTTGGTTGCGATGAATGAAGAAATTGAGTCTCTCCATCGAAATGGAACTTGGGTTCTTGTGACGCCGCCTCCAGGTAAGAAAATTGTTGGATGCAAATAGGTTTTTAAGAAGAAAGAGGTATTCCAAGAGTTGAAAATGCAAGGTATAAAGCACGTTTGGTTGCAAAGGGTTATAGTCAAGTACAGGGTGTTGATTTTAATGAAGTATTTTCACCTGTTGTTAAGCATAGCTCTATTCGTGTTTTGCTTGCTTTAGTTGCCATGTATGATTTGGAGTTGGAGCAACTTGATGTTAAGACAGCTTTTTACATGGTGAACTTGAAGAAAAAAATTTATATGAAACAACTTCAGGAATTTGAAATTGAAGAAAAGGAAGACCATGTTTGTTTGATAAAAAAATTCTTATATGGATTGAAACAATCTCCAAGACAGTGGTATAAGAGATTTGACACTTTTATGTTGAGTCATGGTTATTCAAGGAGCATATATGATAGTTGCGTTTACTTCCGAAAGTTAGATGATAGTTCTTTTATTTATTTGCTGCTTTATGTTGATGACATGCTCATTGCAGACAAGAATTTGTCAGAAATTCACACTTTGAAGTTGCAGTTAAGTAGTGAATTTAACATGAAACATTTGGAAGCAGCTAAAAAAATTCTTGACATGGAGATCAAAACAGACCGAGGAGCTGGAAAATTATTCTTGACTCAAGAAAATTATCTTGAAAAGGTTTTGGAGAAGTTTGGCATGAAAGATGCTAAACCTGTGACTACTCCTCTTGCTAGTTATGTTCGACTATCTGCTGCTCAATCACCACAGTCAGTTGAAGAGGAAGAGTATATGGCACGGGTTTCTTATTCCAATGCAGTTAGCAGTATTATGTATGCAATGGTTTGTACTCATCCAGATATTGAACAAGCAGTCAGTGTGGTTAGCAGGTATATGTCGTGTCCCAGAAAAGCACATTGGCAGGCTGTGAAGTGGATTCTCAGATACTTGCGAAGGACTTCAAATTGTAATTTGCAGTTTGGAAGAAATAATGACACTTTGGTTGGTTTTGTAGACTCTGACTATGCTGGGGATCTTGACAGAAGAAGATCACTTTCAAATTACGTATTTTGCATTGACGGTTGTGCAGTTTGTTGGAAAGCTATTTTACAATCCGTTGTAACTTTATCTACTACGGAGGCAGAATATATGGCCATGACTAAGGCAATCAAAGATGCCTTGTGATTGAAGAGTCTGTTTGGCGAATTTAGTTTGTATCAAGGTGTTACTACTATTTACTGTGATAGTCAAAGTGTCATTCATTTGACTAAATACCAGATGTATCATGAGAGGACGAAACACATTGATATGAAATTTCATTTCATTCAAGATACTATTACTGAGGGAAAAGTCCTTGTTCAGAAAATTAGTACCAAGGAGAATCCTGCTGACATGTTCACGAAATCTTTTCCAGTTTACAAGTTCAAACAAAGTTTGAATTGGGTTGGTATTCATTGTTGGTGAGCCCATTGGGGTTTATGTGGAGAAGGTGGAGCAGTTTTGCTACTGTTGATGTTGGGGACACGCCAATGTGGAGATTTGTTAGTGTGGCGTTGTCCCACATCGGCTTTTGTATAAGAGAACCTTTCCCTTGGTTGCCTATAAATATAGTGGACCTGTGATGGGGTTAAGAGTATCAAGACCAAGAGAGTATTAGTGGACTATTTGAGCATTTGAGTCATTAAGTCTTTTGTTTAGTTAAATACTTTTGGGCTCTCTTGTGTTTTAGTATTAGGTGTTTTGGGTCTAAGAACACTTTCCTAAGGCATCTTTTGTACTCCCTTCTTCATAGTAAAATATTACTCCTCCTCTGCCCGTGGACGTAGGTCAATTTGACCGACTCACGTAAATTTTTATGTTTTTCTTTTACTTATTTCTGCTTTGTTATTTGTTTTTGGGGGTTGCTACAAATCCTTTTGTCAATTTTCTGGAGCCAGAACTAACACTTCCACTTTATGATGCTTGAAGGGCATAAAACCTGGAAAATAATGGTATGCTGGAGAGGGTAGGCTTGCTTGATGTAACAGCGCTTCATATGTGTATTGTGCACTTTACAATATCAACTATCTTTCAGCATGAAAGCAAAGTGTGCGTGGCTATCCACAAACCATGCTATTATATTAAAAAAATATGAAGGGAAAAAGAAAGAAGTTTGAAAATTAAAAAATAAACAAATAAATTGTGTATCTTTCCCACAGTTGGCAAAATTTAATTGGGACAGCTCATCAAGTTAACATCTTATGCT